TTTGGAGAAGAAAAAGGAGAACTTACCAACACCATTGATTTTGAAGCCAAGCAAATGGCTTTCAGCTCAATAAGATGATCGTGGTGATCCATGTCGGCTGGAAGGCAGACACTCTTGGCCAGATTAAAGGCCAGCATATGGTCTTTTTCCGCGACCACTGAGTCGGAGTCAGTGATAGCGCGGTTCTTGTATGTGACCTTAGGCACCCACTTAGAAGAGCTAGCTCGGTCAGATCGCTCCGGTTGTCGGCTTGGTGGTGTGGATTGGGGAAGGATGATTTCATCTTCGTCGACAAGGCGTGGCTCAGTTGTGGAAGTCCGAGCACGCTTGTTTGGGCGGGATGGTGAAGGCTGATGGGATGGTAGGGCTACCACGGTTTCCTGAGTTTGACCGGCTTGGGGTACCTCAGGCGGGTTCGTCTCGGTAATGAGGGCTCTTACAGCTCTCTTTTTTTCCATTTCTTGCTCCGCTGTTAGTGGAATGAGGTTGATTTGTGGAAGGGAATGATCAGGCTCAGGAGAGGGCTCCAACAAAAAGTCTGTCACCCTGGTCTTTTGCCTACTACTGTATCGGTAGGTCGGCTCAAAGTTGAGTAGCTCGGCCCAACTTCGATCGGGATGTCTTAGCGTGGCGCGGACGGTGGCAAGGTTTGGGTAATTATACTGCGACTTTAAAAAGTTTAAATCTGCATAAGAGAAAATTACAACGGTTAGTGTGGTTCAAAGCTTACAATCGAAGTAAAGAAAGCATAAAACCAAGCCGAGGTAATCATACCGGCGACCCCTTTGTTCCAGTTAATTCGGTCGCTCGGGATCTGGGCTTCTTGGTCTTCAAAATTGCCCGAGACCCAGAAGAAATCGTCGTCGTTTACATCTTTATCCGGGGTATTTTTTATTATTTTCTTTCGGCGGCGTCTTATTCTTGAATAATAAACCCAGCCATCTTCGTTCTGGCCTAAAGAGTACTGGTGAAATAGCTCGGCCAAATCGAGGTTCAGGCCAAGGCGGTGATTTAGTTCGGCAATGCCGTTTATTATCCTATATGAATTGGTGCTAAGCTGGGTAGGGCAAAGATTGGTTTGTCTTAGGAATTCACAAAGGAGAGGTTGTACAGGGAATCAGAGTCCGGTTTCTACAATGGAAAGAAGAGTAAAGGGAACGAAGCTAGGATTTCCCTAGGGTGTGGTATTTAGTTCGGCTAAGGTAAGATGAACATCACCAAGGATATGGTTGTCCCTTCGAAACTCGGCTATAGCACCTGGTGAGTTTACTAAGAACCTATACTTTCCCATATGGGTTTAAATTATGTATAAATTAAACTCAAGTTTTAGCTCGGTGCTGAGATGATATGGAATATCTCAGCTAAAGCGTTCAAGGGAGTGCCTGGCCAACCTAAGTCTGCAAGGTAAAAAGGAAAAGTGTTAAGCACAGACCAGTGGACCGTGCTAAAAGTAAACAAAGGAAAAATAAATGTTGTATTAGCTTGGCTACGTGGAATAAATATCCGTTCTTAGCTCGGTTCGAGCAGGAGACTTTGGCTCGGTTAAGTTAATAAGAAGTTCGTAGCCCGGTTGTAGCTTATGGTGCAACATTTTTTCGGTTTTGACTAAGTCAGGGAGCTGGTTTAGCCCCAAGTTATAGCTCGGTCAGTGGTTGAGGCTTTCTAGTACGGCATTGCGCAAACCTAGTACGGTTCGCTAGCTCGGTTAAGTTAAGAAAGAGGTACTTAGACTTATTGAAACTACAAGTATGGCGTGAGGTTTTAGTTCGGTTGTTTGGTTTGGCTAAGCTTGTACCTAATACAAACAGTATCCTAGTTCGGTTGGAGTGTGATTTTGGATCAAATAAAGCATTATTTCCCAGATTGTTCGTGAATCTAAGTGGATCTATTACATGGTTCTTGGGCGAAAGTGGCCATATCCCATGGAAACTACAAAGTGTTTCAAGAAACATACATACTACACTATGTATTACAAAAACAGTGTGAAATAAACGGAAAGGAAACAGATTTGAGCCACAAACCAGTCAAGAATAGAGGAACTGGAGATAGAAATGGCACGAGCAGCAAAACACGAGCTTTTGCAGATGCAGTATTGAGGAAATTTCAAAAAGTAGAGAGAGAAGAAGGTGAATAGTGTTACGTTTGAAGAGTAAGGTTTTTGTGTAGAGTAAGAGAAAAGGCGGGACTGTTCAAATTTCTCGGAGTACGAAGACGGCGTGACAGCTACACTGGGCCAATGAACGTTCGCCAAGTGTCCGCGGAATGGGAAGCGATTCAGTTACAGCGGCTGAAAAGACGTTTTGACCGGACAGATTAGTAGCTCGGCGTGAATTTAGCCCGGTTGAAGACCACTTTTTATCTCGGCAGGAAGAAGAGTAATCCCAATCATGTTGCACAGATGGAATAAAGAGGCAATTAAGAGGGTAATTTATAAGTAAATTGGGCCGAGCTAAGTAATAGGCCATTTTATGGGCCGCGGTAGAAAAGGGCTTGGCAAGTGGACCGTAGTGTTAACACGGTCCAAATGGAATGACAATCACCACGGTCGGAGTGGAGTTAGCTCGGTCTTAGCGTTTGGAGCCGAGGTATGATGGCTTCTCATGATGGACCTCGCTCTGGTTAGCGCGGTCGTAGCTTGCCGTAGATTAGCCCGGTTTCAACAGGCAACCGAGGTACAACTGAACAAGAGCTGAGTTAGCTTGGTGCTGTGCATTGGAGCACCAAGCTTGATTAGCTCGATCTTAAGTTAATAGTTCGGTTGGAGTATACCTAACCAGGATACAGGCACTGAAGGAAAGATCTGAGCTGGGTTAGCTCGGTCGTATTGTCATCCAACCGAGGTAAACCATCTCACTTGGTTTAAGCAGTGAGGGGGGTATTGAAAGATAAGCATTATCTTTCAGAAGTGTGATTCCTAGAAGGACTCTATATGGAGGAGTAAGAGTCCTACCAGGATTGTGCCAAACGGAACTTATAAAAGCTCATAACAGAACCTATGGAAGAGGTAACACAACTTTGATTCCTGAATTCACAGAGCTTTTGTGTCTATTGTCTATTGTGCTGACTTAGGCATCAGGCATCAGAGGGGTTTCCGGCACACACCCGCCGGTTAGGGCACGTTTGTGTTTTCAGGTGGCAAAGCGACTTCGTTTTGAGGAGCGCAAACTTGATCAACAGGATCATACGAGAAGAATTATTTCATGCTTGTATAACTACTTAACTTTTTTGTTTTTTGTTTATCTCGTTCGTATAGTTGTTGGGAAGATAACTTTTTTCGTCACATGTTCAGATAAACAGAATTGAACTTTTACACAATATTCAATTGTTTATATTCAAATAAAATTATTTGTTAAATTATTAATGTTGACCAAATATTAAATGTTCATACATAAAAAATTGAATAGATATTTAATGTTTAACTTATTATTTCCAAACAAACAAAGCTGTTATTCATTTAATTTTTAAAAAAACTATATTTTATGTTATGTTTGAATTTTAAATTTATAAATAAAAAAAAATGAAAATAATTTTATTTATTTATTTATTTTCCTTTTTATCATTTCTTTTTTTTAATCCTGAATTTAAATTATTTCTATTTTTAATTTAATTCCTTATGAATTTTATTTCCCAAATTTAATTCATTTCAATAATTTAATTTATTTTTAGTATATTTTCTTTTCTTTTCTTTTTTAAGAAAGGGTGAATGTATTCAACATTTTACAAAAAAGGAATAACATATAAAGTTTAAGTCCGAACGAGTTGAAATTGTTCAACATATAAAGTGTGAGCTTATTTATTTTGTTCAGTATAAATATTTTGAAAATATTCAATTTATATTTTTTTGTACAATAATATTATATTCAGACAACCAGAGTTGAGCCAAAATCGAAATAGAAATTGCTATAGAAGTTGAATCAATAATGAAATTTAAAAATAGGAAAAATATATCAAGGTGAGAATAAAAAGTGTGAATCAAGGGTGAGAATCGCAAATCTTTAGAGATCTTCAACTTCAACAATACATCGGTGAAACAATGGCGAGACGGCAACAATAATGGAGATTTGAAACGGCGACAATGCACTGGTGAGTCATCGGTGAAACAATAACAACAATGAAAATCTAAAATGATGACAATGCATCGGCTGAATGAAACCCTCCGTCGACAATGAAGATCATCAACACCTACAATAGAGATCTCTAGTGATGTGAAGATGAAAATCTTTGGGTGTAGGTTGTGGTGTGTACTCAAACAAACAGATGGTACGTTGTCTTAAGATTAGTAATGAATAGTTAAGATGTGAACTAAGATATTTTTAAATCTTAAAAATTATTATGTGTGTGTACTAAGTAATGGTATGTACTGAGAGAATTAGAGGTGTGTAAATAGTATTTTCTCAAAAATATATATATATTCACCAATTTTCCCTCAAGTTTTTCTTGAATTTAAATAATGACATTGCAAAAAATAAAAACCAAAAAGGTGCACCTTAGCTAAATTAGACATGATGGTACCTAATAAAAACCATGAAAGGCGCCTAACCACAAAAGCAAAATCAAAATAATTGAACAAACTGCCTAGGATGCGGTGCGGCCATCAACAAGAGATCATCTTTGTATTTTAGAGTTCGACACAAACTCTAACATTCACATGCGCTACACTCAATCCTAGCCCAATACAAAGTCACGATCCGTACCAAAACGCAATTACCACAATACCCTTCATCCTCATCTCTACCCTTCCCAGTTCTCATGGGACTGGTTCGTCCTTTCCAAACAAACACAAAACTCGTAATTAAACAATCAACCCAAGGGCTTTTTAGTAACTTCATATGGTAATTATTTCCTAGAAGAAAGAGGATAACAAGAATATAATAATAAAAATTAAAAAAAGCGAGCCCGATTAATACTACGCCGGGAATAATTTAACGGCGATCGGAGGAATTTCCGGCCGCGACCTTCCTCGATATTTCCTATATATACCGTCACTACACCCCTCTCTTTCTCTCATATTTGCTTCTCTCTCTCTCTCTCTCTCTCTCTCTCTCTCTGCCTAACCCTTGCCTCTCCAAACACATATAACTCTCCAAACACACATATATTTATATATAATTTATGTTATATGTGTGTTTTCTCTCTCTAGATTCGGTGCTCCTGAGAGGTAAAATTCTCTCTCTTCGAATTTTTTTCTAAATTTTATTAGTTTTTGGGGGTTCATTTATAATAATCATGCTTGATTTAAATTGAATTTATGACGAAGATTAAACGCAAGACAGATCAAAAGAAAATATACAGGATTGGAGTGCGTTTGACTATTTTGAATCTATGTGTCTTTTTGAATCTCTTTGTGTGTAGAGTCTGTGATGTACTGATATGGAGCTCGATCTGGTTGTGGATTATGCGCGAATTAATAATTATATTTGTGGGTTTTGTGTATGTATGGATGGATTGGCTAATCGATTTGAGGGCTTGAACTGGTGCGAAGAAAAGATGGCTGTTTTGATTCGGGAAACCCTAAAAAATCGGGGCTTTTTTGGTTTTTGGGTGTAGATTTGGATACTAATCTGGTACTCCTTGTTGGAGATTTGGGAGCTAATCTGTGCAACTCTTTTGGTTGATTAGTGATTGTTGTAGTGTGTATTTGGATTTGCTTTGTCATTTTGTTGTACATGTACATTGGGATTCTGATTTGTTTGTGGTTAATGTATGTTGCTGCAATTAGGATATTTTTTTGGTGTCTTAACGCTGTGCATAATGCATGCGCAATAAATGAATGAGATACGGATTAAGGACGTGGAGATTGGAGGGGGGCTTATTTTAATTTTCCCCCAAAAAACAAACAACTGCGTTGTTAGGTCTTTAGGCTCAAAGAGCACATTTGGTCGATGCATTTGTATGTATAGCCTATTAACTATTGGATTTTGTTCATATGTGTGAGTTTCAGTTTTATCCTGCTTTTGTGTTATCGATCATAATCTCTTATTTTTAGAGTGCTTTGAAGGATTTGCTTGAATCTGTAATGAGGAATGTTATGCTTATGATTCTTAGTCATGTCCTGAAGCACAAGGTTAATTTTTTTTCCCATATCCCTGTTATGTCGGTTGTATCTTAATTTTTTTGAAAATCGATGTGTCCAATGTCTGTGGGACCGTGTCCTTGTTTCTTAGCTTGTTGCATTCTTATCTGTTTTGTTTTCTGTTTAAAGAGGACTGGGAATTTGAACTTGTTTTAGATAAACATATATGGTGTCATGGTGTGTGTATCCTATGTCTATCAAGAGTACAGAGTTGGGTTTCACATATTCTTTTATTTTTTACTTATTTTGTTGTGTTAGTTCATAAGTGCAGTTTAGGGTTTTTATTTCGAAGAGAGAAGGTTCCATGTTTACATGTAAAAATTAGCATAGTATTTTTGTTGGTTTGTTTACCTATGTAAATGTTAAGTTAAGCTCTCATTGATCAATTTGCTGAATTTGACTTGCAGAAGCCATTATGCTTTCAGCATCCATTTGAACGCTTCATAGGTCTGAGGATTTGTTTACCATTTGCTTATACTTCCGTTTGTATGCATTTGTGTATGAAATGGGTTCTAGAGAAAGGCGACTATTTGATCTTAATGAACTTCCTGGTGAGGATGAAGAGACCGATGGTATTCCCTGCTTACAGCCTCAAAGGGCCATTCCTTCATCAAATACCA